CACTGTTTAGTTGACTGATGGAGATCAAATTATTTGATTGACAGTCTAAATTATTATTATAACTTGTCCAGTCCAAACTATATTTCATTTTATACTCAACTATTATATATATATATATATATATATAATATTCTCGTACTAGAATTTCTTTTAATACTTTTTGACTTTAACTATTCATTTTGTAATTTTCCACTTTGTTTAAATATTTGACATATATTTGAAAATATAATAGAATTTTGTTATATTATTGAAATCTTACCAATTTTGTATCCATTCTCGTTTTCCTCAAATAATATTGCAGGTAAAATAGGTATTTTATATAAACACTTTAAATTATTTGATAGAAAGTGTAGTACTGATATTACCCTATGAAAAACGAAGATCAAATTAGTACTACACCAGATTCGAGGTAAGGTAAAAAGACTATATATCAATGATTTTTAAAAGCCAAAATTGTCAACTAATTGACATTGTGATAACATTAGAGTTATTAACTACAATCTCATACTTTAGAACCATCAACTTTCTCAGACTTATTAACTCTAGCCTACAAACCTCTAGCAATAAGAAGGTAATTAACTCTATACTAAAATTGAATATAAGATCAGCTTAACTTAGCACAAAGAGATCATCCTAACTAACTTAACTTTTTAACAGAACTATCAGATTTAATATTTTCTCAAGTAAATGGAGTATTAAATAATCTTACCCATTTTTCCTTTCACCCAAAACACTTTGTTAAATACATAAAAGTTAAAATAATTAGCAACATGATAAACTTAATTAATTAGTCAAATTTTATTTAGAAGTAAATTCCACGCGCCTAAAGGGAGTGTGGCCTTGTGGGATTCGTTTATTATCTTTGTACCCAACTTCCACTTGACATTTTGTGATGAAAACTAAAAATGATGCGTTTTCTATATTCGTCTATTTTCAGATAAACAAATCGTCCTTGTACCTTTTTATATGATGTTAATGTTTTTTTTTTAAATGTTAAATCATATCTCAGGCTTTCAAATCATAAAACTTCTTCACAATACAAGGTGAAGATTTCCTCATCGTTCCTCAAATTATAAAACTTCTTCCGATTTGGAGCCAAAGACTTAAGCCCTAGTTTTCTTTGGGAACTCATGTAAGGATAACTAGTTCCATACATATTTTTGTCGGCTTGTGTGCGTAATATATAGTATTTGTGATTTTTCTATAACATATTCATAATATTATATTAATAACGTTAATATATATTATTAAATATAATAAAGGGACTGTTTCTCCGCTAAATTCTCGGTGTATGTCTTTGCTTTTACTTTCCTCGTTCAGTGAGAGGACCAAAATTTATTTGCAGAGTCGCACATGAATCTCAAGCTTCTCTCTCCTTCTTCCAGAGCACTCAGAATTAAGACGTGGTCTCGTATACAAGGAGGAGCTGCTTCTTCCTCTTGCCCTAATTAAGCTACATAACTAGGGCTTCCTTTAAACATAAGTTACTTTTTCTTTTCTCTTGGTCTTACATTTAGTTCTGTTCTTGGTCTGTTTTAGTTTTGTCGGCTTGTGTAACTGATCACCTCTTCTTTAGCTAGTGGCTCCTCAAAATCCTGAGTTTTGACTTCTCGATCTGAGTTCTTTTTTAAGCTCTCCCTCACCTCATCAGTATATCAACGAGAAGAACCAAGAACCAAGATTTCAAGAATCAAGAAAATTTATTTGAGCTGGCGAATAAACAGTGGTGGGATAGGGAATTAGTAGATGCTGCAGCGATGGAAGGCGGTTACGAGCAAGGCGGTGGAGCTTCTAGATACTTTCATAACCTCTTCAGACCGGAGATTCATCACCACCAACAACAGCTTCAACCGCAAGGCGGAATAAATCTTTTTGACCAGCACCATCATCAGCAACAACAACAGCAACAGCACCAGCAAGAGCAGCAACGGTCGGATGATTCAAGAGAATCTGATCACTCAAACAAAGATCATCACCAAACGGGTCGACCCGATTCAGATCCAGCTACATCAAGCTCAGCACCTGGAAAACGTCCACGTGGACGTCCACCAGGATCTAAGAACAAACCAAAGGCACCGATCATAGTGACGCGTGATAGCCCCAACACGCTTAGATCTCACGTCCTCGAAGTATCTCCTGGAGCTGACATAGTTGAGAGTGTTTCCACTTACGCTAGGCGGAGAGGGAGAGGTGTCTCCGTTTTAGGAGGAAACGGCACCGTTTCTAACGTCACTCTCCGTCAGCCAGTCACTCCCGGAAACGGAGGTGGTGTTGGAGCTGGAGCTGGAGGAGTTGTGACTTTACATGGAAGGTTTGAGATTCTTTCCCTAACGGGAACCGTTTTGCCACCACCTGCACCGCCTGGTGCTGGTGGTTTGTCGATATTTCTAGCCGGAGGGCAAGGTCAGGTGGTTGGAGGAAGCGTCGTGGCTCCGCTTGTTGCATCAGCTCCGGTTATACTAATGGCTGCTTCATTCTCAAATGCGGTTTTCGAGAGATTGCCTATTGAAGAGGAGGAAGAAGAAGGCGGTGGTGGTGGTGGAGGAGGAGGAGGAGGACCACCGCAGATGCAGCAAGCTCCATCAGCTTCTCCACCGTCAGGAGTGACCGGTCAGGGACAGTTAGGAGGTAATGTGGGTGGTTATGGTTTCTCCGGTGATCCTCATTTGCTTGGATGGGGAACTGGTACACCTTCAAGACCACCTTTTAATTGAATTTACATATATTTATCAATGGATAATTTTATGTGTGTTTTTATCATTTGTGGAGTCGGCTTTCGTATGGAATCTTTGGTATTTACTTTGTAGTTAATATGCATATTTGAGCGTTCGTGATTTCTCTTATACTTGGAGCGTTAGAGGAATGCATATTCGTCTCTCGTCTTGTTACTTAAAAAAAACTCTCCATAGACTCCATATATGTCTTTCTTTTATCCATTGCTAGGGTTCCGTGATGTACGGTATAACTATTATCATACTTAGCTCGATTTCACATATATATATATATATATATATAGTTTTTAATTAACGGTTTCGAATTCTTATAAGCAATTTCGAGGTTTACAATATATTCTTGATGAATATATATATATATATATTTACATCTGATCAGAAGTTGCTCTATATGAATATTTTAGACGATACGTTTTCAGTCATAGTATAATATAACACTTTATGAAGTTTATATCAACGTATATAGGCCGAAAGTATTAGTGTATTACCCATAACTATCTGTCGTATAATGCACATTCATTTCAAGTATAAAATACGTTTTCAGTCATAGTATAATAGTATAACACTTTATGAAGTTTATATCAACGTATCTAGGCCGAAAGTATTACCCATAACTATCTGTCGTATAATGCATTCCAAATTTTTCTTAAAACTTCAATGTAATACAGCTATAAGGATAAACATTAACTTACATATATAAAGTTTGATCAAAACGTTTATTGCTTATTAGACAGCCCTCGTTTATGCAGCCTTTTTCTGAACTTTATTTATGCAGCCTTCTGAAGTGTGGTTCTCAAAAAAAAACAATCGGATATGATACTTGGAGTGGTCATGTTCAAATGATGTCCATTCCAACACTCGAATTAATTGCATGCATAAATTGTATGCATTATAACTCTCCAATTAGAGCCATTTCTATGAGAGTTGTAAATTCAACACCATTAAGAATATAAGACAGGTTGCCAATAAGTAGCTTTTTGGACATATTGTCACTGGTCACATATATGCGGTCAAACACCCTAATATTGGCATGTATGGAGAATCTAGCTATGTGTCTCAACCAACAATTCAAATGTTTTCTGGTTTTATATCGGTTTAGATACTAATACTTCAGTTTTATCCTACGGAAATGATCTTTTCTATCAATCCATGAAAAACAGAAAATGATTATGGTTGACGAGATCATGATGAAGAGTGTTGCTTTCGAATTAAAGCAAATGACTAAGGTAATGGCTAAAGACAACCATTACAGCAAAGCATAGAAACATGAAGTACATGGTGTTTCACGTCAGTTACATATGAATTTGTGAACTTAACATGGGAAGATCAACTAAAAAGAACATGAACCATTTGTAGTGTCACTTAAGAGTCTCTGCTGCAAGATAACAAAAGGAGTGTTGATTACCAAGATATGTGAAAAAGAGGAATGTTCCAATTCCCTAGGGACAAATTTATTGACTAGGAACAAAAGAGGAGATGCTTATTTAGATGATACCAATGTACTAACACAAATTTAAAACTAAAATATTAACAGAAATACCAATGTACTAACACAAATACTGTCAGGTAAGGAATATAAACTCCAAAAGAGAAAGTAATTTTTGTTTTATTTATACATGTATATATAATGACTGATGGATAACATTACAAACATGCACATGACCAAAGTCAATATTGTAAGAAGCATATCATAACGATTGTAAACACTAGCTTAATTACATTTTGGACTGTGAGTCTTATGATCAAAGAGATTGAGAATCTAAAACCTGAAATTATTTTTGGCTACGTCTCATGGAATTTGGAATTCTTATAAAAACTATGGTGATAAAATATAAAATATATTAAGCAAAAGATGTTTTGCCAAAATAAATAAAATAGAATATCAATACCTACTTTTGTTATTTCATGTGGCCTTTTTGGGGATTTGGAACATGTTACGGGAATAACGTTTGTGGCTCTGTTTGTATGCATTAGCAAATTCCCATGTGGTCATGTCATTTGCCTTTCCTGTATCCATTTGTATGTGTGTCTGCGTGTGAAGACACACAACATACATATATAATACATGTATATATGTGATTATTTAGTTTTTTTTTGTATAATACTATCTTCTAATTTAGTTGAGTTATTAATGATGTTGTCTTATCCGTAAACTGAACATTGTTTAGACCATAACTGACGTTTTCTGTTCCTTAAAAAAAATGAAAGACATTAATTCTAAGTTCTAATGCATCGATGTCAAAAAAGAAGAAGTTCTAATGCATCAGATAGTACCCTGCAATGTTTTTTTGTATCTAAAAAATTACCGTGGACTTGACGAGTTTGTACCTTAAGTTAACTTCATGATAACAGTATTGAAATAATAAAGCATAAAAAACAATATTGAAATAAATCATAAACTTTATAATCTTTTGATCATGTTCCCCAAAGGATAATCATGAACCTTTCAGATTCATGAAAAATGTCAAATATGTTTTTTTGTTACTATTGTTTTCCCTTAAAACTTTTCTTTCACTTTTTGAAAAACAAATCATATTAGCACTTTTTGAATACAGAAAAAAGCATGAGAACGTAGAAAATCATTGAAGAACCTATACATAGTAAATGGATAAGGTAAATCGTCTATTCATATCTATAGAAAAAACCATAAAAAAGAAAACCTTAACATTACAGTGTTGGACAGATACATATCATTGTTGGTTGCATCCTAAAAGGCTTTAAACTATAAGATCTGGAGCAGCTTCTCCAACTAGTTTCTACATAAGAAAACCTTACATCAAGATACGATGTCTTGTCTGCTCTTCACTTTCTGTCTTCAGACTAGAACTAAAGTTAAAACTGCTTCAGCAGCCTAGCAGTTTTGTTCTGACACAATTGAATTCCTAAGAGAAACTAAAAGCAAACAACACTCTTGAGATCAATCACTGCTCAAACGGAACGCGTATGAACAACCGACCGTGCATGCTCATGACCGCAGATGTGTGAAGCGGATCGATTCTTGCTGATAATCCAATGATCTGATGTTATCATATCAAAATGACAGAAACGGTTCTCAGTTTAGATAACAAGGGGTCTATGTTCTGGTTAATGGCAATATTTGAGATATTCATGAAAGTTTTACCTTTTTGAATGGTGTAATGCCCCAAGGATTGTCAAGCTGCTCGGGCTCCCCTGTTATAATCAGTCGTCCAGCCGGATCTGATTGAATATGAATCTAAGAACAAAAACAAACAAAAAATGTTCAGGACTTTGAACCAGACTATGATTAAAGCCAGAAAACAAGTATCGCTAATGAAGCTGTGTACTGAGACTAGGACCAGTTTCTATGTATGTAACTAAAGGTCAAAACCTTCCAAAAAAAAAACGTAAACTGATTAGGATTATGTCGTATAAAAATAGTAGCTAACAGATCTCTATGTGCTTGCTATTATACAAAAGTGAAAGACTTCACAAGTTCAAAAATAGGGATTTCAAGGGAGTGATCACCTCTTTGCGAAGAAGTCCAGGTACCAAAGCATATATCTCAAAGGAATCCTTCTGTGAGTTCAAAAAGAAAACACAGATTTGTTAAGATTCAGACTGGAAACAACCAATCTAGTTTGCAAAAATGATGGCACAAGGCACTCACGGTTTCTTTGACAGTTATCTTCACCCAGTCAGTAAGGGGTCCATCATCAACAACATCAGCAACCGACCTAAGGCGCCAAAATCATAGTAGAAAAATGTCAATTAATGCTTTGTTTTCATCCTATTGCCGCTTAGAGGGATTAAAGAGAACGAAAATTTTAAAATAATTATCTAAGAGTTACAAGTAAATAAGCAAGGAGAGGATTAGCTTTCCGTAACTGTTTATCTGCTGAAACATCAAGGTCCATGCAAGTTGGTGTATTGTGTTTATGCAGGCCTGAAAAAAACCGTTCCAAACGCAACATTAAGCAACTCTTGTAGACAAGAATATTAATGCCTTGAGAGAAATGATTTACCAATGCTTTTGAGTTTCTTATGCTTTGGCGTTGGGATTAAGCCCTTATCCTGAAAAAAAAGGAGAACATCGTTATAGTGAAAAAACTTATGGTACAGGGAAAATTTCTGCAGGTAAAGTCACAAAGTGCAGTAAGATTTAAAGTGAAAACTTAACAATAGTTTCACTAACCTCTTCAGATCCGACAAGGCGCTGTGTATGCCAACCTTGCATAGCACGAGCTGCAGAATCTCTCCGAGCCCTGCCTGATCCTGAACCTTGATGACTAATAACCTACATCAAAGTCTTTAGATCAGGGAACAGAAAAACATGGTTATGCACATAAGTAGTCCCCTCAGTTACCCACTTCCCACAATACATTAACAAGTAGATATTTTTCTTCTATCTCCATGGTGCTAAATCTAGCTGATATCTCCATCCAAATTTTTCAAGTCTACCCGTCTTTCCATGGATTTAGTGTCGAAAAGCCAAAGGCTACCATTTTAGGGGAATTATTTTTACCTCTTTCTCGAGGACTGAAGACAGAATGTGTGTTGAATCAGGAAGGTTAAGCTCACCATTTTTCCTTAAACTCTTTTCGTACTCCAAAAGTGCCTACAGTTGAAGCAAATATTCAAATCATTATGCACGTATATCTATATGATGAAACAAAAAGAAAAAACTATCAGTCCATCCAACGTGCTAAAAGAAGTAGTCAGACCTATCTAAAGTGGATAAGTAAAAATGAAGACACGATAAATATAGTACTTATGCACAACAACAAAAATCACCTTTTCATAGAAATTGCGGAATGTGTAGGAGATTGTTGTGCACGTCCTGGAAAAGATAGTTAAACCAAATTTATGACAAGTTACCATCATGAAAAATAAGAAACGACTAACGGAGAGTCTAAGGGTAACATAAGCAATACTTAGGAGGATTGAAGGATTCTCCAACTTGCCGCCATAGCTTAGATGTGGTGACCTATATTACATCGAAAAAACAAAAGAATCATGAAGACCAATAAACATTCGAAAAACACTGAATACAAACTCCCAGATATAGCTAATAACAGTAAAACCAATATACTTTCCAGACAATATATCAAACACTCTTAACATATCTGCATATCTAAATCACTTTCTAAGTATAAAATCTTGTTTCTGAAAGTCTTTCCCATGGTCATAGATGCTCTTATCATCGATAAGCTTACCGGATTAATATTTACACGTTATACAGTTCATATCTATGTTATCCATAACACAAATAAATGGAATGTCAACTTAAATGATATGCTTTTTCTGATTATCATGAAGTGAGGAAGTAGGAGTTCAATACTAGACTAAAAGAAGTGGATAATTACCACGTCATGGCCACCTAGTTTAATGACTGCTCGCCATAGCCTACATTGCATAGTAAAACATGCAATAGTCAGACACTAAATCTATGAGTTTGTTAAAGAACAAAAAGCAACACTTCTTCTAAAAATACTAACTTGAGAGCGTTTAAAGGCTGCCCATAAAACTTAAGAGGTTTGTAATCCAGGTAGTTCTCTCTGTGAAAGGTCGCCAACTCTCTTAGAAACGCCTGCTGTTCTTCTGGCGTCCCTGCTTCATCAACTTCTCGTGCCTGTAGAGAAAAAAACTGAACTTGTAAGAAGAAGATCACCAAACTAACCGTCAAAACAAATGATATTCAATCCAGTGAATTACTCAGAAACATCAGTTTTTTCTTAGCCAAATCTAGTAGATACATAGTAGTCTATTATTACTTGAGAATCACTGAGCAACCAAGTCTTGCGCTTTTTGCCATTTTCATCTCCAGTATTTGTCTTCTTCTCCTCAGCGTGAAGAACTACTCCAACATCACCATTCTTCTTCTCCTCATGACCATTGGCTGCTTGACCATCTTCTTCATCTTCGTTATCCCCGGGAGGAAGAAGGGGCTGGGGGGTTTCAGTAGGGTTTTGGTTCATTTCTGGCTCTAAAGGTTCTTCCTTTAGGACATTATCATCATCAGTAGTAGTACAAGGCACATCTAGTGATTGTATCTCAGTGTCCGCCATCAACAAGCTTCTCTAGTCTTCTGTCACAGCAAGATAGAACGTCATAAAAACCTCTACTTTGGTGGTTTTGGAGTAAAACTCTACTTAGAAGAGAAAAAAACAACTTGAGAATTAGAGCTCTCTCTCCCCCTCTCTATTGCTCTGATTCACATCATCTCATACCTAACAGAGAAAACAAGCCGAGAAAAGAAGAGTTTCAGAAAAAAAGAAGTTACCTTTTTCTGCAGCGAAGGTGCCGCAGACGAATATGCGGGAAGGAAAGAGAGGGACTAACGGTGGCGCGATAAGGTTTGGAGGTGGGGAAATTAGAAGAAGACGAAGAAGCAGATACAGGGAGACTATTTTGAAGCTGAGACCAACTTTTTGTCAATGTCCGAAGGTTCAGGTACAGTACTATAAGAATGGATGGGTTTGAAACGACGTAGTTTATCATCTCAGAAGAATTCTCGCAAATTTGCAAAGCTAGTTGGGCCTAGACAATTGGGCCTCTAGACCCATTTAGATTTCGAAATTGGAACATTCGATGCGCTTACGGATTCTTTTGTATGTCGAGTTGGCTCTCCTTAACTGATTAACTCAATACAACACACCCTTTATGAATAATAAAGATAGCTGTTTTTATTGCGATATTAAGTCTTTGTCGATAACCAAAACTTGTTTGTTTTTTCTCGCTTTCCAAACTCAACAACAACGATTATAAAAGTAACATCGTTTAAGGATAAAAAGAAAAAGAGAAGACTAAATAAGGTGGGATGTTGAAAGAAGAGTTTATGCAAAGAACATTGGAGCTATAAAGAGTTGGCTCTTTTTTTCTTTCTTTTGTGTGCGTTCTAAGCAGTTTGTTGACCACCATTTGAAGATGAAGAAATGGTAGTGAGAACATCAGTCACTGAAGCCATCACGCTCAGTGCTGCTTTCAGTACGTCTTGTGAACATCCTGGCTTCACTATCGTCCTCACCTATCCCCAAAATGTCAAAGCAAATTATGAATATACCATCATTATGAAACAATAGTAAAAGAAACACAGAGAAAGATAAGTTTGTACCTGGTCTAGATATTCCTGCAGCTTCTTGATACGTCCCATGTAATCTTGATCTTCAACACAGAGACTCACTGCTTTAGCATCTGCACCAGGACCATCGTACTGAAGCGGTCCTGGGTTTCTGTACAGATCTTCCATCAAGAATTTATCTGCGTTCTGTCTCAACAGCCTGCCAAGAACCATTATTTACATATTAATTAACAACTGAGAAACACTTGAAGCAACAACTTTAGTATATAAAGAAACTGCTTACTCGTATGCTTTGCCTTTTAAATCCACCATTGCTGGATGAATTGCAGGTCTACCAATTGAAGTTGATGTAGAATTAGCATTTTGGGACCAGTTCTTCACCGTCATCATTGCCTAAAAAATATGTGAGATTAGTAAATAAATAAACTGTATTAACACCATCTTTATATTAAAAAAGATGTAGAAGACGAAACTCAACTGTAATAGGTGCAGCACCACATTTCCACTTGTTCACAGGACTCTTCAGGTTGGTCACTGTTGCCATGTAACCATTCAGACCAGCTGCCAGGATGTGGTAACATATATGTCCAAGAACCTGACAGATTTTTTCCCATTCAATATTGTGATTACTCATCCAAAAATTATTATCAGAATGGCAGTGACACTTACGTAGGCATAATCACAATCAAATTTGGATGGGAGAGATCCACGAGCTTGGTAACCAAAGAAGTGACATATAGCATTGAACTTCTTGCCCTTGTATGTGCCTTCTTTCTGTCAAGTTTCAAAAGATTCAGTCTCATGGACAAGAGTGTTCCAAGATGCTGCAAGTAACTTGAATATCCAGACAACAGTATTGCGAATGAATAGAGATCAATGAGAAAACATGTAGCATACCAAGCGCTTGTTCATTTCAGTCTCCACGAGATACGCAAGAAGTTTCTCAGTCTCAATCTGGAGAAAGTAGAACAAGCATTTAGTATTCCAACTTTTTCATTACATATTAGCTCTCAACATTATTTTGTTTCTTCTTCTTACCTGAGATAGCTGAGCAGAATCATCAGACTCAGGGTGAAGAAGTAGCTGCAACAACAAAAATGAACTTGTTGTAAGCATACATATTTATCTACTTTAGAGTACAACAAAAAGAAGTCTCATGTCCGAGAATTCAAACCTGTTTCTTAATGAATGGAGGAAGGAATTCAAACAGAGCAGATGACCAAGGTGAGAGCTGAGTAGAAATATTATCAGCAGCTACACCCTCCCTAAGTAGCCCGTGAATTTCCTACAGAACGCAAAGTCAGCTTAGGCACGAGATATTATATTCGAGAAAGAAGAAAAAAACTACAATTATAAATGATAAGTACAAATGTATAGTATCAGATCACTACCTTCAACAGAGCGTATACTTCAGGAATACTCTCAATGATCCCTTCGGGAATGAGGATGACTCCATGATTCTTGTCTGTTGTCAATAGATGTTATAACACTCGAGTTAGTTACCAATAAAATACATGACTGCATAATCTTTCATATTATAGTTTTCGTTAATGAGACCTTGTCCTGCTCTTGCTTGAACTGCATCACAGATCTGTTTAGAAATGTCAAAAATGGTGAGCTTAGATGCTGCAACCTCCTCGCCTAGTATCACCTGAGAGAACGCATCACATGCAAATGAGAGTCAAGAAATACATGCACGCAAACAGATCAATTAGCTATGTTAAGGAAACCGAATCTAAAATAACCAACCATGTTTGGATGAGACTGGAGGGTACACTCAAGGGCAACATGAGAGTGCTTCCGACCCATGAGACGGATGAAATAATAGTACTGCCAGTAATAAAGAAAGTGAAATATTGGTATCAGAATCATAAAGAGCAAAGGTTTTCTTTATTCACTTTGTAACAGATCCCACACCCTTGATCAAAAGTAATTATTATCATCATTGTATTATATGTTTAACAGGAAATAGAATTTACCTTCTCTGCAGACAGAGCATCAGTGCATGCATTGCTAATGAGCTGAGAATTCACCTGTATGAAGCAAGAGATCATATCAGCCAAACATCACATATCTTTCTGTATTACAAGAACAAAGGGATCCTTACAATATGGTGTCAAAACAGAAGTAAGCGGAGGGTTGTAAAAGTTCAGATTTTACCTTGCATATGGTGTCAAAACCAACGTTGGCCTCCACAAACTGATTCTTGAGATCTCCATTAGTAGTAACTGGAACACCAACTACCTGAAATTCATTTGTTCTTTATAGTATCAATAGATGAAATTTAAATAAAACTATCTAAAAAAGGTGGGGGTAAAGAACAAGGTCATGACCTTTGTGGAGCATTTTGCTTCAGCGAAAAATTCAGCAAGATGAGCAGCATCTGTGTTTGATGTTACACCTTCAAAAAAATGCACAATATAAACTCTTGGTTTAGTAGAAACTCACACCATAACTTCGCCAGTGAATATAAATGAAAACGCTATATGTATACCTCCAATGATAACAAGGCCATCTAACTTCAAATCAGTGCAAGCTTTAAGTGCAGCATTAACCTGCTCAGTGGTTCTGATCTGATCCTTGGTTCTTCCAAGCAAATCATAGCCACCTTTAAAAACATACAAGTATCAGAATAAGGTAATGAAACAAGATTCTACAATGCATTCATCAAACAAACCTTACCTTGGTTCTTGTAAGTCTGGAGTATCTCATCTGTGATCTCCAGAGTTTTTTGCGCAAATAGACCCTCAGAACCACCTATGGATCACAAAGAGTTTGATGACTGCTCTCACACCTATGAGTAATATAGAGATAAAAGAAACTAACCCAAAAAGCCAAGCAAAGTGCTTTTAGCGTTGTGAACCTTAAGAGCCTCGTGTAGACCCCAGATTACATTGTGTCCACCCGGAGCTTGCCTTCCACAGAAGACGATTCCAACTCTGACTGATGGAAGCTGAGTAATGATGTGAGCATCAGAAACTTTGGCAGTTTCCCTGAGGAAGTGAGCTAAAGGCTGTCCTAAAGTATGTGGGAAGGCACGAGCTATGATGTGGGAATCAGATGCCTCGGACACAGTGGTTTCATCACCAAGCTCCACACGGACAGTAGTCCCCTGAAAATGAAAAAAAACGAGTAAGTTCAAAATGGTAATCCAAATAGCAATGAGATCTGACAAGTTGAATAAAACAGAAGGAACTTAAAGACTGAAAAACTTAGGACAAAGCAGAACAGAGATCATTACAAGCTGGAAAATTTAGATCTGATAATGTTCCTCGTAAAGACACAGTTTAACAAACAGCAGAAGCTTGTCGGATTCATTTGCAAAAAGTCCATGAAAAATATATTAAAACAAGAAAGTGGAGTAGAAAGAAGAACCTGGAGACAAGGAGGAAGCTCAGGTTGGTACTGAGAACGGAGTAGCTGAAGGGGAGAGAGTTCTCTGGGGATTCCGAAGTCTGAATCCATGTCGTTAAAGTGTGTTTGGTGTGTGAGAGAGATGTGAAGAATAGAGAACGGCTCTGGTCTTTTGTTTAAAAAGAGTACAAAGGTCACGTGTTGTTTAAAAAGAGTACAAAGGTCACGTGTAGGTCAAGAAGAATATCCCTAAACCAATTAGGAAACAAAACAAAACAATATTTTTATTTATTATTTTTATTTTACAATATTATTATTATTCACAATGTTGAATATGCTCTTAATAATATGCTTTTCTACATAGATTTTTTTAGAGACTTTTGAGTTTTTTCTTCTTTACTTGAAGAATATACAGTGAGGAGGAAGACTGAGAATATACCAACCACAAAAGCCAAAACACATCCTTTATATATTAATCCTGAAATATTCATAAATGCAAAATTTTGGAGAGCATGCTTACGTATCAAGCTTACAGAGTTTCTCAGCCTTAATATTTTAATGGACTAACTTTGCTAGGAATGAAATAATGTAACATTTAATTTCTTGCATTTAGGACTATATATATATACATTT